AATCACAACCTTTTGTAAGATTATAAATTTTGTAAAACTTGATAGTAGTTTTTTTAAAAATAATAATTAATATTTTTTTAACATTTTCCCATTATGTGGTTTCTTAAATGTATTTTGCATTAGATTTCTTTTTTTTATTTTTTGTTTCTAAAAAAAAGAGCTAGTTACAGTTATGTCCCTCTACTTATGGAGATGAAAAATATCTCACTGGTGAAAGCACACATGATATGCATTTTTGGTCTGCCAATGTGACCAATTATAGACTGCCAATGGGACCAATGTTGTTAGTTAGATATTTGTCACACAACTTTCTCTCTGAAAACGTGTTGCACTTTATTGTTCACAGTTGAGATAAATTCTTTGGTGTGCTATTGCAGTTATATATTTTTAGTCAAAAAATTGGCACCTCTCCCCCACTTCATTCTTCCTCAGCTTTTTTATATTCTAGTTTTGTAATTGATCAAATTAAATTATTTCGGATGATATGGATCATATAATTTATATAAATAAATAATATATATGAAGCATGCAAATTTAATATTCACAATTCATATGATGAAGAAAATTAGAAATAGAAAGATGCCGACAAAAAATGATTTAGTAATGAATTTAGCACATATCTTATAAAGTTATAGGTTGAAATCTCACTGTCAATATAAAATTATTATTAGAAGAAAATTTATAAGTACCTCTTTAAAGCTAGAGTATGCTTTGACACCAACAAGCTCCTAGAATTTAATTTACCTAAACTTTTGCTTATAAAAAGAGAAAAGAAAAGAAACTAAAAGAAGCCAAGTTGATGCCCTTGAACAGCTAGCTGAAATTTTCTCTGATTACTTATGAAAAAGGCTCCCATGGGATTTGATTTATTTGTTACAATTTTAATTCCAAATAAAAAATAAAAAAAATACTTTTTTTCAGATATATTGGACTTTTTCCTCAAAAATAAACTGAAATGTAGTATTACTGGAGAATCTCCGAGGCCCCTAAGGGTATTCATAATAACCTGGTAGCCAACAAGGCTGAAATTGGCCTAAAAAGTGAAATTTCTGAAAATTTTAAAATTCAATTATTTTATCGAACAAATTTGTAATTCAATTCATCTATAATATATTATTTAAAAATTAATATTCTTCAAAAATATGAATACTCAAATTTTGTACATTACTTTTTTTCATAATATTAAATTAAGAAATCAAATTTAAAAACAATATCTACCTGTATACCAAATACTAATGTTTATTGGAAATTAATTATTCATAAATAATAAATAAATAGTATGAATTATCATACCATTTTTTACTCAAAAAATATATAGCGAGGAAAACAATCAGATATATTAGAAGTAAAAAGAGGAGATCGCAATTGCATAAAAAGTCATCAAATATATATATATATATAATGGTTATAAAATCAACTTACTACATGAAATATATAGCAAGAAAAACCATCATATAAAATCAATTAATATTCATAAAATCTTTAAAATAAGAAAATGAGCGAAATTAGGGTAGAACTCATTCTGATGCTTGGCATTGTGGCCTAACTCGACATATATTCATTTCTCGTTTTTCAGTTGGGCCAATAAGGCCTATAAAAAAGCCTATCCCTAATTTAGGTAAAATTAAAATTTAAGTATTGTGAAAATATAACTTTTGATCTTTGAACTCTTCCTCAATTATTGATATAGTCTCTAAATTCAAATAACTTAATTTTTATAATTTCTTAACTCCAAATAACTTAATCGTTATAGTTTTTTAACTTGGTACACCTCAATTCCTATATTCATTAACTCAATAAACTATAAGAATTGTGTTATATTGAGTTAACATTTACGACTGAAAATTATAATATCCTTTGAAGTATTTTAAGCTGACAAGTCTGATAATTTTGGAAGAAAGAAATAATACTATTTTTTCTTATATTATTGGCGTGATGAAGTAGTTGAAATCATTATAAATAAATTAAGTTAATTTCTTGTAAGCATTGTATGTTAAGCTAATTAATTTAAAAGTAAAAATGAACAAAGAAGCAAACTGAGTGTGAAAGGCATCTCAAGTTCTTCACGTCTATTTCATATGAATAGTTAGATCCGTTTTTTTGTGCTAACACCTTGGCATTTAGTGATATTTTATACCTTGAGGCAGTATTATATTTCATGTCAAGTTGTTGACATTATTAGCCTTTCCGAATAAAAAATCATAAATAATATGCATTATATCAACCGTATTGTCTAAATGAAAGAATATGAACTATTCCCAAAAAAAAATGAAAGAATATGAATACCAACAAGCATTTAGTTCAGCAAGCAACGAAATTATATCAATTTAATCATCAAGCAGCATTTGAATTTGAAGGTAGAGCTTCCTTCCGAAAGAATCCTGAACTAGCTTGATCCAAGACAGAGCTTTGGTTTTGAAAACCACATGGTTTATTAAAAAAACAAACATTATGTATTATAAGCAAGTGTTGTACTCCCTGCTCCAGTCTTATTTATATATCATTTCTAGTTTGTTTCACCAAAACTAAAGAAAACCTTAAATATCATTAACCTCTACTACCAATAAGGAAAAAATAATTACTTTTAATAATTTTATCTAGCATTTAAAAAGAGGCAAAAAAGTAAATATGAACATAAAAAATAGAAAAGTACCATATAATTAGGATGAAAATTAATTTTTTCTCCACTCTACCTCATAAATAAGACTAGAAGAGTTTTTATTGTTATGCTAAACATGTATATTTGTTTGAATATATATTCAAAATTATATAATGTTTCACTCCCTCCATTTCAAGTTGTCTTATTTTTAAACTTATGCACACAAATTATGAAAATGCCATTATTTTTAGCTAAGCTTGCTCTTTTTTTTTTGGCGAACGAAAAGTTTGCTCATGACTTGTATTTCTTTTTTTGGGCTTTTGACTATTCTTCACCATGTTGTTATAAGGCGGTGAATGATGAGGGTGTCTAGAAATAAGTAAATTATGTTACTTGTTGTAGTTTGACACTTGCTTTGACTAATATATTACAGGTAAACATAACTTTTGATTTCTGTACTCGCATTTTGCTTTTAATTTCTATACTTTTTTCGGTGTTTTAGGTCCTTACACTTTTATTTTTTTTATTTTGGGTCCTTTTAAAGTCCCTATACTTTGCTTATAGAGGGACCAAAAATAATGGAAAACAAAAATATAGGGACCTAAAACACCAGGAAAAAAAAGTATAGAGATCAAAAGCAAAACATAAGTAAAGTGCAGAGACCAAAAGTTAAGTTTACCCTATATCATATTATCCATTTTTATTAAAAAATAACATTAGCTACCTTTTTTTTCCAAGGCAAATACTCGCTCAACCCACCCTTTTATATTCATAAAGGGTAAAATAGTTATAAAGTAATTAATGCTTCATTGAAATTCAAAACTGACACAAATTTAAGAGGTGAATCTCGTCCCAGTCTATAAGATCATTTTAGATAAAATTACACATTTTAATAAAAAATCATAAAATTTTATTTTTTCAAAAAAACTATAAATATCCAAGAATACCCTTCATAATTTGATGACCTTAGAGAGAGAGGGGGGGACTGTAATGAGGAGGGAATGGTAATATTGGAAAAGTATATTTTATGAAATCTTATTTTTTTCTAATTGACTTTTATTTTGAGACACTACAAATCACCTCCAAATTGTTCTATAAACTGAGATGGAGAAAGCATTCATAATTAGTGCAAAAATTTTGAAATGTTGAAAATATTATAGTTTTGTGCTGAAATTGCTCGTCATCTTTATATTCATTCCTTAATTAAAAAACATGAAATTTACCATGAATTTGTGACAGAAATTTATGGAGAAAAAAACATCCGTCACAATTTCTTATATGACAGATCTGCAATGAAAATTCAAAATTAATTCCGTAGTAAGAAAATTTGTAACGGATGAATCTATGTTGCGTTCATTGCTAAGGCTTGAATCTGTCACAATTCCACCCAAATTTCTTGCTTTTTAGCTGTAGTAATTTACTAGATCAAATGGTTTAAGCATTAAGAGAATCTAATTAAGTAGATTAAAACCTGATCCAGTAAATATTTACGTCTGAAGTAAACTAATTAATGTTACAATTCAAAATGTCAACAGATCTAATATGGTCTTCATTTTCCCTTTTTTAGGGTATTTCTAGTCTGTCTTCTTTATGTATGAGGACATCAGTAAAGTGTTGGTCATTATAAATATTTATTCCAAGTGTTGCTGGATTCAATAATTTAATCATTATATATTTGGAACGCAAATGCATATGAGATCTATAACTAGCTATAAATAGCCTTCACGATCAATGGACATACACAACTATGCCTCTTCTCTCTCTCTCTCTCTCTCTCTCTCTCTCATTCGTCAATTAGATCACTTGTGTGCATATCTTCTTCTTCCTCATACCTTAAATGTCTCATCTATCCCGTTTCGTGAGAATGTCGCTACTATTCTCAGTATTGATGGAGGTGGTGTTAGGGGCATCATTCCAGCAATTATTTACAATGCCTCGAGGCAGAGCGTCAGGTTAGTTCAATTAATTACTTCCTCCGATCCTTTTTATAACCATATGTTAACGGCAAGTCAAAAAATTGGCAAGTCCTTTTTCTACCATGAGGAGTTTTTAAGATCGTTGCATTTTTGTAAATGAGTTATAAGTTGGGACATAAAAATCATTAAGGCATTGAACCGATTAATATAGAGTTAATGGTTAAAATAATAGTCAAGTCATGGTCAAACCAGTCATGAACAAAACGTTTCATTGAACTGATCAAAATATATTGTTTCAGTAATTTATCAGTTCAATCAGTTGGGTTGACTCAGATTTTGATACAATGGTCATACGTGTGTCATTGAATCTTGTAAAGACCTTTAAATTAACGACCAATAGAAAGAGTCTCGTAAATAGAGATAGTGTTTTGGCATAAAAGAAATACTGATAATAAGTAGGGTTTGAATTTGGCGACTGAGGTCAGAAACTTGATGAAAATTCAAGAATCGCGGACTATTTTGATGTGATCGCTGGGACCAGCACTGGGGGACTTATCACAGCCATGGTTGCAGCACCAGATGATAACAAACGTCCTAAATTTACAGCTAAGGAAATTGTGAATTTCTACAGATATGAATCCAAAAATATTTTCCCCACACTAAGGTATTATTATTGTAAATTTATCTTTGAAAAATTTTATCTTGAAGCTGTCAATTTTAATTTTACCACACACACACACCAGATTTATAGCAAGTCATTCTTGTTCTTTAGATAGCTTGTGATCTACCAGCTCAACAATCAATCCGCCTATCCATTATATTCTTCGACGAAATATTAATTACTGTTCGATCTAATGCCCTCTTTTTTTTTTATTATTCTCTAAGTTTTTGCATGTGCTCGTTATAGTTAAATACTCGTACCATTGTATCTTGTCGAATTATATATATATATATATATATATATATTCCCTCCCTTTCATATCTTGTTTTAGACTTCTTATTTTGTTTCAAAGCTTTGGTAATTTGTCCAGTCAACATCATTTCCTAGCTATACTCTCGTTTACTAATTACATTTCTCTCTTGTCACCTTGAACTGTCACACATTTTTCTTTTATTGAGTTAATATTTTTCTCTTTTTCTTTATTAAAATATGGAATTAAACAAGGATATGTTAGCTGATGTATGGTATCCCTCTGTCCCAAATTATAAGACACTTTTAGATAAAATTTGTGTATACCAATAAATCTCATTAAATATACTTAACAACTTTATCTTTTCAAAATCAAAATATAAACTTTTAACAATGTCCCTCATTTAGTATATGAAAGAGAAAGGATGAAAATTAATTATAAAGAGAAAAAGAAAATATTAAAATTGATGTATTTAATAAAACCTTAATCTACTAAAGTGTCTTATACTTTGAGATGAAGAAATTTTTCAAAAGTGCCCTATAATTTAGGACTGAGGGAGTACTATTTTATATTAATTAAAAAGTTATTCATCTACAATATGCATAGCCTTTAAGCACTATAGATGTACAGACAGTAATCTGAGTCCGAGGTATATTATCTGCTCGTCATGACATTCCTTGTTTATCTGTTACTCTCTTTTCTCATCCATCATTTTTATCACTCTTTTTCAAAAATTTTAGTTATTTTCAAAGAAAATATTTCTTAAACGGTGGTGAACAGATGGTTTTTTTTTCATTTTCGTTATTTGAGATGATAAAAAATAACCACTTCGTGTGTTTTGTTTGTGTGTGGTGTCTGTGTGTCTGTGTTTTTTTTTTCCCCAGCTGGCGACAAAGAATTCAAGCTTATCTCTACAAACCTAAATACGATGGTGTGATATTACGTGAAGTCATAAGAGGGAAGTTGGAAGGAACAAAACTGAAAGATCCACTGACTAACGTTGTAATTCCACCTTCGACGTGAGGAAAATCCGACCTGCTATTTTCTCAACCTTTAACGTATGTGTTATATAGGAGAGATAATAACTCTGATCGATGTGTGTGTGTGTGTGTGTGTGAATTACCATTAGAAGGGCTGAATATTAAGGCTTGTTTGAACTTTTTTTTTTTTTTTGTGATTGTTTTATGAACTGGTGTTTTGTAAAATATGTTCTATGACTAAAAAATTGAAAATAGATGTTCACATTCTCCCTTATTCTCTAATCAATAATTACAAAACACCTAAAAAGATGTTTTGTTTTCTATTCTCTGGAAAGATATTTGATATTTTTTTCTTCAAAATACTTTTTGAAAGCATGATACCAAACATTGTTTTTTTTATTTGGCTATAGAGAACAAAAAAGTGTTCCCAAAACAGATTGTCAAACTAGTCCTTACGTTCTAAGTTCTGAGCATAGCTTTTTTGATGATGTAGCCACGTTACATGTGCCGTGTAGATGATATAGATCTCTCAGACGTATGCATTGGAACGACAGCTGCACCGACATATCTTCCCCTCATTATTTCGTGAAGATGAACCGAAGTTCCATTTGATTGATGGCGGTGTCATAGCAAATAATCCGGTAACTAAATTATGTTCATTTCACTATATATCTATATGTATATGCTTCTCTTTTTGCCCTATTTAGAAGTGGCCAGGGGTGAAGGGGATTAGCAGTGGCCACCTCTTCCCCTCCCCCTCCGGCAAAAAATTTAAATTTTTTTAGTTTATATAGATATTATATACTTCTAGCCCCCCTAGATTTTATGAAAATTTTGTAGTATATATATTTTTAAATTTGACTCCTTTTATTGTTAAATCCTGAGTTTGCAAGGGGCCAACTTGCTCGGCAATATAGTATCCCAATAGCCCATGATCTTCTTTGTACAAACGGATGTTGCAGATACACACAAATGCATCTACAATCTTCACACCAGTTCTTGGCGTAACTAGGTTCTTAATCATATCACTTGAGCTCGGATAGCATTATTTTCTAAATGGACATAAAGTCACACACACACACACACACACACACGTATATACACACACTTGACTTCCCAATACAAAGTTGAATTTGTAAGTGGAGATATGAGATGTCATTGTCTAAATTTTGTGGCTCCCCTTTAATTTTTTTTTTTTTTTTTGGCTTGCTTGTGATGATTGATCATGAATTAATTCATCGTCATCAACTTTCAGGCTTTGATTGCCATAAGTGAGGCCACACAAAAGCGGACATCAATAGATAAGCTGCCATTTGGGATGATAAATAAAAGAATGATACTAAAAGTGGAGCCAAATGATTATGAAAAAATGTATTTGGTATCATTAGGAACTGGATTTCAGAAGCCAAACACAGCTTATGATGCCAGAGCTGCACAAAAATGGCGGGTTCTTGCATAGGCAGCTGGTCCTATCACTGAACTCACACTTGATGGCAGTCAAGATTTGGTTGATCATCATCTTGCCTCTGTTTTCCAAGCCTTTGATTTAGAAAGTTATGTGAGAAACCAGGTACATCATATTAATATTAAATAATACATTTTTGGTTTTTGAATTAGAGAGGCAGATCCTAATGATATGAAATTAGAGGTGGGATTGAACCTGAAACCTTTCACTTATAAGAGAGTTTACACGCCACTAGACTACAAGATCATTGGCACTAATACATTTATTAATGCATTTAACATACATATATTTTCATTTATCATTTCACTTAATTTTAAATACATGCTCCCTCTTGTCCTATTTATAAGACATAAAGAGAAGATTTTTTTCTTATTTATAAGTCACATCATTAAATTTTTATAAATAGGACCGGAGGATTATACAAGTAGTGCTTCATTTTTTAGTTGTTTTCTTATACTTCATTTCAATTTATACCTAACTTAAATTTCGTGACAAAGCCATAAATTTTATAATGTAGGGGCAACATACACATACACTTTATAGGGGTACAAATTAATATTGTTAAATATTAGAAATTATTTATATACATCATATATATACATGTACAATATTGAGCAATATGATTTTTTTTTTAGTGGCACTCGTCCACAATACCGACAATGTAGGTCCGTCCTTGAATATAAATTTAAATAGTACAACTTTTTTTAGATTTTGTATTATATAGATATGTATATATCAATATATGTAATAAATATAATCAATAAAGAACAACAGTCTTCCTAAGTCATGAATAAATATGAATCATCTATTATTCCATGCAAGTCTAGGCGAAATGTTGAAAACATACGTGTGTGGTTTCACATTAATTATTTTATTAATTTGTTAAAATAGGTTAACTAGTAGTCCTTGAAATATTAAAACTCAATTATATTATGTGATCTCATATAGTTGATGGCCTAGGCACACATGATCTATCGAATTTAGTTAATGACTAAAATGTGGGCCATAACCTTACTAAAGCTTGTAATGGGTAAGCCTAGCAAGAATTGTTAAACAAGTCAGGTCCCTCTCTAATCGTAACTCATTATGTGCTTTCTCTAAACCTAGTTTGTTGACGAGCTCGTTGTAGCTTAGCTACTAATGGTCCAAACGAGGTAAGCAATATTTTAATTATTTACTAGTATTTTACCACGTTTTGTCTACATATACTAGATCCTCTCCTCATAATCTAATCTTAATTAGATCTTTCACCATATTAAAAATATATCCAGATAATAAGGTGCCTCAAACATATATAGCTGTATTGTTATGCTTTAGAGGCCGAAGAAAACATAAATATATAGCTGTTGTGTAATTATTTTAATTAATGGTGGGTCGGCCCATGTGTGTTGTATTGCAAGTAGTCAAAAGTCATATATATATATATATATATATTCCCTATTATATATGACTTAATTAGTGAATTTATAATTTATTTTAATATTGTTACAGATCATATTAAATTATTTTATTTTAATGTTGCTTATTATTTGAGCTGTAACGCAGACAGATAAATTAAGTGGAGACATGGCTCAAATGGATTGTGCCACCGACGACAACATAAGGAATCTGGAGAAGTTCGCAAATGATGAAATATTACATGGACCAGTTAAGAAAATGAACTTAGAAACCTTCAAGCTCGAAGACGAGTTCAGGGATGAAAGTGTATAGAGAAGCCTAAAAAGAGTATGTATCCCTGCTCACATAAATATAATAATAACTATAATTTTAGTGTTCAAACATATATTACATTGAAGCTTGCTTCTTTTTTACTTAGGATGAGGCAGGGGAATATAATAATAATAATAAATTTATTGTAGTTGACAGGCATGCTGCCTCAAGATACTATTGTGTATGTCTTTTAAGAATTGCTTCCTGTAAGGATATGTCAAGTGTAAATAAATTTGAGTTGATATGAGAAGTCTTACATTGAATAAAAAATTAGGCTTACTTGATAACTATATATAATAAATAAAAAAAATGACCTATAAACTTAAGCCTTAAAGTTTTGAGTTTTGCCCATATGTTCTCTTCCTATTTTTGAGCAATTGCTCCTTATTTCTAATATATGCAAAATGAGGTCACTCCCCATTACTAACCCATGCGCATACATTAAATGCATAATTAATTTTTTAAAATATGAATTTTAGACCAATTGTGTATGCCTATCCTTGATTGATCATTGCATAATGAGTTGAATCCACTATATAGGTGGTGACTCTCTAATTTTTTATATGTTTTGAATGGATTTTATTAGCAATTAGAAAATCATCTTCTTTATTTTGGCTAATTTTCTCCCTCATTTTCCCTTTAATTTGTCATGCTTGCAAATGGATAAGTCTCTTTTGATCATTATGATTGGCAATCACTTTAAGAAAAATGAGGGTTCTTTGTGTTTTTGAGGACTCGGCTAATAGGGGAGGACTTGAAGGAAGAAAAATTGAAAAATTAACGTGAAAATTAAAGTTTGAAGGACTGCCACGGTGCCTGCCATGTGCTGCAGTCAACCGAAAAAAAAAAAAAAAAAAGACTACATTGGGGCCATGGGCAGCTGCCATTGTGATATCGCATAATAAAATGCATATCATCATTTTTTTAACATATTTAAAGTGTTGGAGGCTAGGGGTTTTGAGGAGGTCGATGTTCTCATCTGACTTTGAGGTCTAAGAGGCGATTTTGGGAAACAAACAAGGGCTTGGAAGCTAAGATTGAAAATTGGAGAGTCATTTGGAGTTTCTTGAGGAGATTTTTCTGCATTTTATTCTTCTACTTTATGCCTTTAATTCTTTGCGTTGTTGTTGAGTTTCTCTGCACAATTGGAGCCATGTGTTGCTAGTTTTGTTTAAACCTTAAGGATTCTATGAACCTTTACAATTTGTAGCTAGATTTCTTCTTGGTTGTTGTTGTTTAATGGATGCTTTAGTGCTTAATATGAATTTATCATCCTCCTGCTATTGGATGGCCGACTCTATTATGAGTTTGGGTTTTGAAATTTGCCTTTGAAAGAAGGGAATTGCAAATAGACTATTAATTAAACAATCTAGGATTATAATTTATCTAATTTTCACTTGAAATGGATATATACTCAAGAGCCCTAGGTAATATTTGTAAAGTTTGTGTATAATTGAATTATGACTTACATAAAACATCATAGCATTAGTTAGATTATGGGTTTTTATGATCAACGGACACTTAAATATAAACAGCTTTGATTCTAAATTTGAAATTAAACTAGTTAACTAGGAGAAAGTGAATTGCAAAGTATAAAAATTAAAGGAGACTAGAATTCCTAAGGTATTTCTTCATTACTTATCCTTTCTCGAAGTCATTTTTATTGCTTTGGTTCATACTAAATTTTTAGTTCCTAAAAATTCCACTCTTCAATTGATTAGCTTAAATCTAAGATAAAAATGAATTTATTTTGTGCCCAATCCCTTTTACTTTAATTTTTTGTGAGATGACTTGATTCACTACTTTACTACATTTGATCCGTACACTTGCAATGCATTTAAATTTTATGCACATCAATAGAAAATTTCATCCATTGAAGATTGCTAGAAGAAATTTCCATGAAACTGTCATGTGCCTTAGAAAATAAAAATATCAAGTCTAAAAAAATACTACTATGGTCCTATTTATAAGTTACTTCTAACATGTTTCAACTAATATCAGGAAAATCTTAAAACTCATTAACTCTGTCTTAAATTTAATAAGTTCTCAACTTTGCTCCTGTTAAATATACACATTTCAATAACATATTTTCTTTTATCCAACATTCAATGGAGAGTAAAAAAGAAAATTTATAATAAAATTTAATAACAAACTTATAAATAAGACTAAAAAAAATTTTTCTCTCTCCCTATAAATAGGACTAGAGGGAGTACCATCCTATTTTTTTTTATAAAAAAATATCATCCTATTTTAACCAATCCTATTATTATAGTATTGCAGTACATTTCCAAAGGTTTTTGTTTTTTAATTTGTGATTGCTAGCTTAAATTGTTGATCCTGCTACGCAATGATCAATTATATAAATTTTTTGTTGTTAAGATACTTTATAACTGTATGGTAGGGTCAACCGGTCAAGATCAAGAATTAGGTCATGCTTGATGCTACATGAGAAAGATTTTTTTAGGAATAAATTAAGAGTGGACATATTATAAATATTAAGTCTTAGCATTCATACGCAAGCTCAAAACTTTAATATGAAAATGAACATTTTTTTATATTAGTTAGCTTTGAATCTTACAAGTTACAATTGATAGTTTTTAAGATTTAATTATATGCAAGATATGAAGCAGCTATATAGATCGTACTAAAAATATTATAGGGATCGAGTTCCCTTCCATATCCTTAGTTTCATTTTTATTAGTTAAACTAATACATACACGTTGAGTACTGATCCAATACGTGAAGTTTCAATATTGCATTTGAATTTTCTTTTCAATTTCATTTTTTATCACGCATTATTTGAGATTCCGAGTTAATTAATCAAGTTGCCTACTCATCAATTAATATTTGAACATTGATTGTTTGAATTAATATTTAGAGAAAATTAACCATTTGCCTCCTTATAATTTTGACTAACTTGTAACTGACGTGACTCAATTCCTAAAATTTAATTCAGTGCAATTTAGTTCATATAATTTTAATAATTTAAAACATTACTCCCTAACTTTCAAAAGATACCTTAGTCTTTATAATTTTATTTTTTAAAATAAAAAAGTAATATTTTAAATGGTTAAAAACTATAAACATTGAGTTACACTAAATCCACGTTCAAGATGAAGTTTCAACTAAGTTAAAAATATGAGAATTGAGTTATATATAAGTTAAAGTTTAAAATTGAGTTTTAACTTAGTCAAAATTATAGAGATTAAACGATAAATTTTTCCTAATATTTAAAATAATTTTTTATTAATGTCCTTTATCATAATGTGAACTGTGATATATAATTTCTTGATGAGAACGGAACAAAGGAATTCAAGTGTGGTGGGCTTATATATAATTTCCATGTATGAATTAATTTATTTCTTATCATTCCGTTCCAATCAGGTGATGGAAGTCTTATTATCCTAATCTATTGGATGTTATACATAATGTTTTTAATTTATTATGACGTTCAAGCAAAGCCCATGAACACAAGCAAAAGAAAGGCACTAAATATTTAAACATATATATATATATTATATATATGAATAAAATAAATTATCATTCGAAAAGTCAAGCGATAATATCTCGTTCTTCCTTGTTCCCAAAGAGACTAAAGAGTTGGTCATTATCAATTATCCCAAGTCTTAAGGATTTAATTATAAGGTAATTACTCTTATAATTAAGGTACTACACATATATCTGAATACAGAAAATTAATAAGTTTAAAATCACAAATTACTCTAAAATCTCGCACATTTATCCCAAATTGTCAATTTAATATATTGAAATTGTCAATTATTACTAGATAGTTGTCAGTGAAATTGTTTAGTTAACAACTAAATATCAATATTTAACAACTATTTTGCAGTAATTGCCAACTTGAGTAAAGGCCATGCAATTTCAGTGTAATTTTATATTTTCATGAAAATTTTCTATATTTAGATTTCCCGTGTGGGATCTGAGAGAGATTTTACCTAATAATAATATAAAAGCACCTTTCACAAGCTTGAATGAAGAATGTGTATGTGTCTATATATTTATAAACCTAATGAATTAGCTGTTATCTCATCAATCATCAATTATTATATTAATTGTGTGTCTGTGTGTGTGTGAGAGAGAGAGAGAGAGAGTCATCTTCCTCATATCTTCATGGCAAAGCTTCCCCCTTCAGCTTATGGAAAGGTCGTTACTATTCTCAGTATCGATGGAGGTGGTGTTAGGGGCATCATCCCTGCAATTATTCTACGATACCTTGAGGAACAGCTTCAGGTTTGGTTAAAATTATTTGAATTTTTCTTTGATCAGTTAACAATTTCTTATCATTTTTTAACATTTCTCATGTCAATATTAGTAGAAACTAACGATCATTAATTAGGGTTTGTTAATTTCTGGTGATTGAGATCAGATATATGATGAAAATGCAAGAATCGCAGACTATTTTGATGTAATTGCTGGAACCAGCACTGGTGGACTTGTCACTGCCCTACTTACAACACCAGACAAAAGTCAACGTCCTAAATACACTGCTCAAGATATTGTGGATCTCTACAAAAACGAAGCAAAGCGTATTTTTCCAGAACCAAGGTGCAAATATATATAACTACCAAACAATAGATATATATATATATATATATATAATTTTTCTCTCGCTCTTAAGTTTTTTAAGTATAAAATACATCGATTGTCTCTCTTTTTCATTTTAATTACAGAAATTTTAATTTCATCTGTCTGGAAAACCTACACAAATATTCTCGTTGCAATTAATAGTTACATAACATGTTTCTATTTTTAAAATTATATTTTCATCCACACAACCGTTAATTGTTAACCGTTTAGTTGTTTGTCTTAGACCAAAATACCCTTATTCAGCATAATGATATTAGTATTCAATACATCTAGTTTAACATTTTAATCATATTTTAAATTTTTTAATTGTGTAAAATTATTTATTTAAAACTTTTTAATAATTTAAATACATAATCTGGCTAAAATAATATTCCAGACACGTATTTGTACAAAAAAAATTTAATGAAATGTATATTTAATATATTAAAGAATAAATTAGTCATGACGAACATAACCTATATTAATTTTAATATCATATTTTAAAAAAATATTTATTTCAGTGTTATCATAATTAATTATTTAAATTTATTTAATATGTAGAGAGAGGTAGACAATTAGATTATGAGGGCAAATTAATAATTCTAGATTTTTCTATATATTTACAAATAATAAAATTAAGTAATTTAGAATATTTAACAAAATATTTTAAACTATTAATGTTTAGAACTGGACTAAAGTATATGTTAAAAAAATAGGAGGAAAGTATTTGTAATTTTAGTAAAATAAAGGAAATTCAATTTCTTATATTTTACTTTTTTTAACGACTAATTGTATATGCATGATGTCACAGCTTGATAAGAAAAATCGAAGTTTTTTTAAACAAACCCAAGTACGATGGGAAGTATTTACATGGGACCATAGAAAACAAGTTGAAGGACACAAAATTGCACGAGACAGTGACCAATGTTGTTATTCCAACCTTTGACATGAAGCAAGTCCGACCAGTTATTTTCTCAAGCTTTGAGGTATTCATAATTAATTAATATAGAGTTGTTTTTAATTGGTAGTTTTTGGTAATTAATTTGTAGTATTTTTGATGGTGTAGCTGGAAACAATTCCATATATAGATGCCAAGCTATCAGATATATGCATTGGGACTTCAGCAGCGCCAACGTATCTTCCACCATATTATTTTTCCAACGATGGTAAAGAATTCAATTTGATTGATGGTGGTGTCATAGCAAATAATCCGGTAATTATTTCTTTTTGTTTTCTTCTACTAAAACTTGAAAATTTCTATGACATTTTTTTGGTATAACAATCTTCGTCCTAATCAGTTTATAATGTCTATTAATTTATATTTTGATATTGTCTAACTTAGGTCCTATTTGGTTGCTAGAAATCAAAGAAATGTGATGAATTGAGAAGGGAGAAAACTTATATACTTAACATTACATACTTAATGTGTTTTTTTTTCCAATTAAATCAAGACATATGGATCTTGTATAGCTTATTTATTCTATAATAAATTCTTGTTATTAATTTTATTAATAGATTAAGATTCACTTGTCATGATTTAATTGGATATAAGTATACTAAGTATATGAGGCTAAGTATATAAGTATTACCCATTGAAAAAATAATGACAAAATTAAGGCGATCAAAATGTGAAGGAAGATAGGTGAACCATATTCATAAAAGAGGATGGTAATTTAATTCATGAAATTGAAAGTCATTATTCATGATATTTTTGAAGAGTGTAATGATTCTCACATTTATGTATATGATATTGAATTTTGTCATACTTATCATAAGGAGGAAGGGTGATTTTGTTCATTTTTTTTTATTTTACTGTTTTCAATTCATTTGATTCTCATCCTTTTTAGCAACCAAAGGAGACCTTATAGTATTGGTATTAACCAATACTCCCATTTAAAAGATAAGGCATTTTATGAGATTAGATAGTAAAAGCTATAAAGGATTTGTAGTTTTTCAATATGTAATTAATGAGTTTTTTTAAGAAAATACCCTTAATAATTAAATAAATCAATAAACCATTCACCTTTGGATGAGACACCAGTTAAATAAGGGTAGACATAAAAAGATGATATATCTATTTAAAAAAAATCAACTAACTTATTGAGAGTGTAATTTGCAATAGATTAAAAATGCATTTTATCTTCAAATGGAGAGAGTAAAAATTAAGATAAATCAATTAATCAATTATTATTTTGTGAATTTTTGTACTTAGAAATTTCTCATATTGAAAGGTATCTTTGTCCGATCAGCGGTTTAAAATATAACCATGCAATTCACGAGTCAGCATACTATGTTTTTTTAAAAAAAAAAAAAGTATCATCTAAATTAAATAATATTCTTTTTAAATTTAAAACTTAAAAGTAATTTTTTTTTGATGTGTTACACTCATCCAGGGATTACAATTATGTAATTTGACTAAAATTATATTTATAAAATTATTTATTAATCTAATGAGTATTAAATAAATAACATATAGAAATAAAGCAACAAAACTATAATTCTACTAATGTTTTCTTAATTAAAATCAATATTATAGTTTGATTAGAAGAGTTCTATTTTGAGTGATGTAATATTAATATATGCATATTGATTATCCATATTGGCAGGCTTTGGTAGCAATAAGTGACATCGTATAACAAAAGAAAAAAGGGAACACAGAATGCTTACAAGTGGACCCAAATGATATTATTCAAAAACATATTTGCTATCATTAGAAATGTTTCTATGTAGCTCCTTGAATGTTGTGTTTTTCTCTTTAATAAGGATGAAGTTGAATTATTTTTAAATTTTAAGATATATTAAATGAGTTAATCACCCTTTTTTAGTTCTAGTAAGATGATTGAAAGTGACTTATAATAAATACAAGAGTTTATTATATTCATGCATATTAAACATATTGAATGATTTGATTGACATATTTTCAATACATGGATATATTGGCAGGCTTTGGTAGCGATAAGTGAGATAATAGAGCAAAAGAAGAAAGGGAACACAGAATGCTTACAAGTGGATCCAAATGATTATTCAAAAATATATTTGGTATCATTAGGAACTGGGATTCAGAAGCCAACCACAGATTATGATGCCAGAGCTGCTTCTAATTGGGGAATGCTTGCATGGGCAAGTGGTCCTCTCACTGAACTCACACTTGATGGAAGTCAGGACATGGTTGATTATCACCTTGCCTCTGTTTTCCAAGCCCTTGGTTCGAATAACTATCTCAGAATTCAGGTACATTATTATCATCAATTCCTAATAATAATCATGTGCTCCAATTTATTAACATATATAACATTCTAGTATGTAATTGGGTTAAATGGCAAAAATACTCTAGGATTTTTTCTCCAAACGTGCCTGGCATCCTAAATTTTTTTAAAGCATCTTTGCCCCAAAAGTTTCAAAAAAAGAGAATTTTGTCCCATCATCAAATATAGGAAATGTTTATCATTAACTAAAGTTCAACCAGTATATAATTTTATGGTCTTCCCCTCCTTCATTTATGCATTTTTTACCTTCATTGTCATTCACTAGAAGAAGAAAGTTAAAGAATTCACTGGAAAATGAAATTAGAGACTAAGCACAGAAGAAAGGAGGAAAAAATACAAAACTATCTTTAGTCAAACTTCAGTTTAACTGTCAACATTTCAAATATTTGATGGTATGGCAAAAATGATCTCTTTTTTAAACTTCTGAGGCAAAAATGTTCTAAAAAAAAGTTTAGGATATTAGGTGTCTCTAAAGTTTCAGGGCATTTTGACCCTTTAACCCTACTTAATTTAATGTTTCTTAATTCATGAGCTGTGTGTGATCGATGGATATGCATGTAGACTGATCAGTTAAGTGGGGATATGGCAAGAATGGATAACTCGACTGATAAAAACATGAAGGATCTTGAAAAGTTGGCAAATCAAATATTAGAGCAGAGAGTTACGAGACTGGACTTGCCAACCTTCGAGTTCAAAGAAGTGCCTGATGCTCCTACAAATAAACAAGCCCTCCAGCAGTATGTATTCTCTCTCTCTCTCTCTCTCTCTCTCTCAAGATCTTGCCCTTTGCTAATGAAACTCTTAGGTCATGTTTGCTTAATGGAATATCATGGAATGGATTGAAAAAATAAAGATAAATATGAATTCAATCACTTTTTTTCCTTCATGGTAAGTATGATAAAATTCATTAATATATACTACAAATGTGAGAATCATCACACCCTTTAAAAATCTCATGAACCATGATTCTCGACGTCATAAATTAAATTACCCCTCCTCCTTCTAAATGTGCTTACATATCTACTTTTATCATCTTATTTTTACTTCTATTTTTTCAATCAATTCTATTCCATTCTATTTTAGTAAGCAAACATGACCTTAATTCTTTAATTTTATTTCAATTATTGATTTGGTCATTTAAATTTAATTTTTATCAATTTGGTCTATGAACAAAGATCATGGAATATTGAGTTGCCAACCATAGAGATTATTGAAAATAAGTATAATTATTTAGGTAGGCAAAAAAAAAACAAAGAAAGAAAGCAGGCTCAAAAATTAAAAGAATAAAACACAATGTAAGGCTCGAAAATTAAATTTATTTGAGGGCCGAGTTGATATTATTCAGCTACATGTACATGTTGAATCATCAACATGTTTTACACATTCTATTAGTTTGAGGGCTAATTTATATTTGAAAACTTAAAAGACTCACGTGATAACTTAAGAAAATATAAGAAATTAAATTAATAAAAGTTAAACCTAAAGGCCTAAATTAATAATTAAGACAAATTTTGAGAAACCCAAAGTTTCACTATCCATTTTTCTTGTTATGCTAAGAGGAAAGTTTGAACCTCTTATCTTTACTTCACTTATACCTCACCTCACTTTTATTACCAAAGCTAGAGCCTTAAGGCTTAATTTGGATGGAGAGAAACATCGGGAGAAAATGAAAGGGAAGGGAAATTACAAGTTCTACTTATTTTCCTTCCTAATTTTCTCCCCCATCCAAATCAAAGCAAGTGATCTAAGTTTTAGCTTTTTTTTTTTTTTGGTAAACAAGTCTTAGCTTGTTTTGATTTGAAATGCTGAATTAGTGAAATAAATAAATTAATAATGTTATCCTGAATTTCCAGTCATGTTCACCTACTTTTTTTAGGAAAAATGACAATTAAGCCCCAAAATATTAAATTAATGACAATTAAATCCTCAAAAAAATTTGTAAAATAAGTTGAAAATATCAAACTAAATAATTGTAAATTTAAAAGTTTTAATTGTACATAAATATTTAAGTATCAAATGTAACTCTTAGATTACAATATTTGTAACGATTTGAATCAATATTTACAATCATTTTTTAGAAAATTTTGTTGGGGACTTAAGTGTCATTAATTTAACCTTTTAGAACCTAACTATCATGCTTTTAAAAAAAATTAAAATAATCCGTGCTTAATTCAAAATTCAAGGGAGCATTATGAAATTCAACAAATTGACAACACACACACACACACATAAATGCTTGCCCTTTTTTATAACAATAAATGCTTGCCCTTTTCTTTGTGTAGGGTGGCTGAGTTTCTCCACAAGGAGAAGCAAGAACGACAAAAACAAGTTGCATTTTAGGAGTGAATGGCTTTTATCAATCGTACCATAAAGTAATGAATTGTCACTTGTGTATTATTCTTCTTGCTGATCATATTTGATTTCGTTAATGTGTACTTTAATACCAATATGTAATTTAATTGTTGGGTCGGAATTGCATGATAGAAGCTAAACATGTCGAATGTATTTTATGGAAAATTCATATGTTTGTTACAGGGCAAGTGTGTGTGCGTTTTTTTTTTTTTTCTTTTTTTTTGGTTATCATTGTAGACATCACAACATATCGATAAAAGAATCTTAATATTAATTTTATAATAGTGGTGTATTGGCCCAATCCTAAACATTGATCGCTTGAACACCATGGCCCAATACTTCTCTTGCCATCTGTTTTTTATTGGGCCAATTGGGCCTCTGTTGAGAATGAGATATAAGAGCATTTTGCATGTTTTTCCCCCAGATTTTTTATTTTCATTTCCTTAAAAAAAAAACCAAACGAATGAAAAAAAAAAAGAAGAAGAAGAAGCTTTGAGATATATAATTAATCTCACCAAAAGAAGAAAAAGAAGATATATAGTACACCTTGTTAGATGGTTTCCCACACTATAAAATTTCAAAAGCACTCTCTTAATAAATCAAGAAAATGATTCAAATACAGAAAATTAGGCGGGCCTTTATGTATGGTAAATAAATTGTATTATTTATAATCTATGAACATTATAGCATATAATAAATATTTTTTTGTGCAATTATATGTTACACTATACTACTTAATAATCTATATGTAAGAATTCTCTTCTAAAATAGTTGCAAACCATTGTTAATTGATTATTGATTATTGATTATTGATTAATGATAGTAATTATTTAACTTAAGGCTATATCATCAAGCATCCTTCAAGCTTTGAATTTAAGCCGCTTTGAATGGTCAATAGTTGGGTTATGAAAAATGACATCCGACCAAATTTACAACTCATTCTTTTGGGTTTGAATCTTTATATGCTTTTGAAATATTCTTTTTGCTAATAGACTGATCAACTAGAAAGATTGGATTTGATTCTTTCTTTCTGAAAAGAGATTTGAGAATTTTCGCTTTTACTTTTTGGTAGATTTTATATGGTATTTCTGTTTCTTTTTCGTACATTGTGGTGTGCACATCCTTTGCATTTTTTAGGGATATCTGGATTCTTTATTAATTTATTTGGATTTAATTTGAATAGTTTATATTATATTTTTACTATTCTTATGTTTACTTTAAATCATATTTTTGAAATGGAAATTAAAATTTATATTAAGAAATATATTTTATTTACATTTTACTTCTTTTAAAATAATATGTGTATATATATATATATTATTGTCCAAATGATGTTAAAAAAACCTATGAAAAAATGCACATCCAGAGAAATTGAACTAATCTCTATATTATATAAGAGACTGTGAATGTAATCTTAATATAGGATTATGTTTCCAATCATTTAGTACTAGAAATGAGTTCTCACTTTCTTTCCTTAAAAACTCCCTGATTATTCATTGATTCCTGTTTGAATTTAAAAGGAAAAAAAAAAAAGCTAAAGCCAAACAAGGAACAATGAAACTTCACCACCTCCTCATGACCTGAATTTTTTATTTTAAATAATCATTTTAAGCCCTTCACGATGAAACTTCAAGGAACATTTGGGTGTGATTTTTTTTTTTATTTCATAGTGGTGTGATTTTTTTTTTTTTCATAGTATTAAAGTGTAAAAAAAAATCTCACATCTAAAAAATTAAAAAATGAATCATGATATATAAAGCTTTGAAAATATCTAATCAAAAGACTTAAGCTATTTTGATAAAATATATTATCCTTAAGCATACTTAATATAAAAAATTTAACACATAACTCTAGTAAGTCACGTTGATATGATCCAATTGACCATCTCTTTATTTATTGCAATTTATTAGCATACAAGGTTTGTTACATTATATGCTACTTCATGTTGTACCATAATAAAGAGCATTCATAACAATAAAATTGGTCATAGATGACAGCTATTTTTTGCCATAGAGAATGGTTGTAAGCACCCTTTATTAAAGAAACACATATAGGACAGTCATAGAACCATACTATGTATGAAAAGACATAAGATAGTTATGAATTAATCATACGATATGAGGTTCCAAATTGAACCAAATCTAAAACTTTTGAAGCTATATAAGATGGTTATAGCAATAGCCATCCTACATGGCCACCTGTAGAGGATGGACAGTTGTTGCCATAGTCATTCCACATGGCATGTTTTTTGAAAAAATAAAAATCCCATACAATATAAATATAGATATAAATCTCAAAACAGTCCAAAATCAAAAACTACACTACTCATTATTAAAAACTACACTATTCACAATTTAAAATCATCAAAACTATTCTATTGACAATTCAATCTTTATTCAAAATTTAAAAGTAATTATTTTAAACCCTTCACAATTGAACTAAACTTACAATTCCTAAGAAATCTAAATTATTGATAATTGAACTAAACTATTTCTAAACTAACTTACTGTATATTATTGCCCCATATTTGATAAGTATATATTTTATAATTAATTAGGTATAGATTTTGGTTTATATTTGATTAAATTTATTAAGATATTATATCTATTTAATTAGAATTTATATATTTTTCTTCTTATCACTTAATCATAGGATGAGAAAGAATTTTCGCTATGAAATCCACTTATATAATTTGTTCTTCATATTGTGCTGGTAAAATGTAAATGAAAATAAAAAGAGGGAAGAAAAGAAGAAATCGGTTTATACACACCCACTTGCGCATGGGAAGAAGACATGAGTTGTGAGAAGAGAGAATTGATTAATTAAATAAAACAAAAGGAAAAAAGCAAGCACAAAAGGCGCAGGATGAGGAGCAATGGATATGTGTGTGTGTGTGTGTATATATATATATATATCATGCCACATCAACTAGGAATCTAAGAAGGAACTTTCACTTTAAACATAAATACTCCCTTATATTAAGAGAAAAGGTGTCTGATCATTTATCTGAATATCTTAAGAATTCTCTATGAAATACTTGGAGCCGGTAGAAGCATTTTTAAGGCTGAAAGCAAGATCGTTGAGGAGTTTTGCATATCATAATTATTTCTTTTTTACTTTTTAATTTTCTCTGTAATCATTTTATATGATTCGATATTTTAGAATAGTATTATTTGATTTTACTATGTGTTTTTAATTTACTCAGTTAGGATAGAAAAGTAGCCCAACTATGGAGCTATTCTATTTTTATTTGTTTTGACTTTTTGTATTTATGTTTTTGAATATATTTTGCTTTTTCCAATTATATTTATTTATTTTGTTCTTCATTGAACCTTATACGGAGCTTAAAAGAGGACTGGAGAAGAATTAGGCTTAAGTTAGGGTTAGCAGATTATGCCATCCATCGCGACAGACAACGTCCTTCGCCATGGTAGATGCGTTGATTTTAAAATGCCCAAGATGCATTTTAGAACAACAAATGGGAAGAAAGTTTTGAAAAGAAAGGCAAGCAAAAGAAATGACAAGAGCTCTACTAGAGTTCATTTTGAAGGACTTTTGGAGGCTATAGAGGGCTAGTAACTCCTTATGTAAGCTTCCCTTTCCATTCTTCTCCCTTCTTGCATTTTCTTCTACATTTTGGGGATCAATGGAGTTGTTGTTTGAGCATTGAGCCAAGTTTTGGCCATTCTAATGACTTCAATAGAGTCTAAAGTTGTTGTTTAAGCTTCTAATCATTAGTCCATGCTAATGACAATGGCTATAGGTATTAATTATGGGATTAGAATTAACCTAATACTAATTAACCTAGATTAAACTAATGAAATTAGTTAATAGTATTGGTTGAGCTTATTGAAGGCTAAATAAGTTAATAGAAGTGAGATATGGACTTAATTCGCTTATTGAGGGATTAAAGTCTTAATTGAGATAAAAGTTAATTAGTGATAATTATTCATTAATGCTATTGTTAATCATACATTGTAGATTGATTGTTTTTGGAGTTTATTGCTATAAGAAGCTCTCTCAAAAATTCAAACCATACTTTTTGAGTGGTAGTCTAAGAGTTGAGGTAACCGAAAATTTGATTTTAATGTATGATCATGCTTGCAATTTCTGAGCTGGCATGTTATGGCATAAAATATGTGACAATAGAATAAGTTTGATCAATTGCATAAATGGGTTTATCATGAACTGTGATTCTTGAGCATGTTGGATTGTTGTTGTAATTGGTAATAACATGATTTATATGATGATTCAATATGAATTGCTAAGCATGAGATTGACCATGTGACCAATTGATTAGTGCAAGTTCATGGTTGTGTTGAATTGAAATGGACATGGTCATAAATATGCCTATATATATATTGTTATTGTAATATCTTACTCCACTAAACACATTTAATAAATCAGACTCATGGTAATCGAGGGATTATCTTCGAAGAATGATTACCAAGTTTTTAGTTCAAAATAAGGGATCCCAAGTTTTCTAAATAGAAACAAGATAATATCAATAAAAATCTTCCATATCAGAGTAAACATAAGTTTTGAAAGCATAGGATACCTTAGAGGAGTGAAAGAAGTTGAAAACGGTGAAGAATAATTATGTGCTGAAAAACAGAGCAATGCGCCACGGCAGGTGCACTCTACGCCGCAGCGGGTGCACTCTACGCCACGGCGTGTTGCTCTCTATGCCACGCACCGCGGCTCAAGTGCCATGTGTCGTGATGTATTGCACGAATTTTCACTGGTTCTATTGTCAATTTGACAACAAAATTGGGGAACTTCCAGCTTGCCCCGATTCTCCGTCTGACATCCGAATGACGTGATCTAGTTGTCTACAAAAAACTCTTTTCTTGTACTAGCTGATGGCATGGGTTTTACTTCCAAAACATATCACACTAGAAAGTTGGATACCCAAATATAATTTAACCACTTTTCCACACTTTTATACAAAATGGGTATCCAAAACCCTCAACAAATGCCAAAAGCTTTTTCTAACACCTGGACCATGTCCAATGGACCTCTGACTACCAGTACAACACGTCACAAGCCTTGAAACATCATTATAATTGAAATTCACTTCTCAACCCCAATTTACCAAAAACAAAGGGGGAGGTAAAATAGCATTGCATTCAACTCAAAACATTCAAAACATGTTCAAATCTTTTTTTTCT